CTTGTGGTTACTCTTGAAGTAATCAAATTGCGATCCGCTACACTCATTCTGGTTCTACGAAGGTCGCCGACGTTAGCTTAGCTTCCTCTAAGCGAAAGAGCTACGGCGGCCCCGCTGCAGTCAGGCACCGGCAATTTGCTCTCGTCGGTTTTGGTTCTCCGTCAGATTATCAAACACCCTGCATGTGACGCTAAAACAGATTTACTGATTTTGCTACAATGCATTCGGTCTCGTGGCAGCAAGTCGTGTTCGATCAAAGTCCCCTCCTCCACCAGACCTAAGCCACTTTGTGGTGGTACCAAAGGCATTTGGGGGTTTCTCAAACAGCTACGGAGAAACGGGTATAGCCGATAGAGGCATGTGTTGCTTTGTAAGACGCAAATGCAAGTGGAATGCCTCCTTCCAACAACGTGGTCTATCCGCACAAGCGTTCTGAAGGGTGTTCGCTACAACACCATCAACGCACTTGGCCTGATTATCTATTTGAGATAGCCAACGACTGAATCTCTCAATTAGTCCACAGGACCACAGTCCCGGTATTACCGAACGCGTCTCTAAAGCTAATAGACATGGACTGCCAACACTCTTACGGAACCGGCACGTTGGCCAAAAGTGCTGCCGCATGCGGCGAAGACTTAATATATTGACACGTTTCACACGTGCGTACACATGTGGTTACACGCCATACATGCGGAGCCGTCAATACTTATAGCAGTGTATACTTTCGCTTATGGGCTGGTCTTTCAAAAAGGTTTCACTAGCCCCAATTGGTATTCTATACTCACGATTCCCGTTATCAAGTGAAACTACACGTTACGTGCCATGCAAACGATTATGATATACAGCAAGCTTTTGAGGAAGGTATGGTGGTAATCACTTGCATAGATAAAGAGGCGTCTGAGCTCTTAAATTCCTTGCTTGCCAAAATCGTAAAGAAGCTCAACAGAGGCACCCGGCTATTTACCACATAATGGAATGAGGTAAATTCTGTTAGTAGATGTCCCTCGATATTTAGCCGAACTCAATAAGTGGAAGCACTTCGCTCCAATTCCTCGGATTCTCGTCAAAAGTGCTTCGGCGTGAATTCGACACAACGCAGTCCTCGCGTTTCGTCTCTCTATTGTCTTGCGGGTGGTCAGTAATGCCTAACAATATTAAACAAATGTTACTGTAAAGAGCAGATCTCTACCCAACACAATGACCAAAAGGAAGCGATGATGGCTTAACACGCTGTCAAGAAACCAATTTGCTACATTTATACCACCTACACTATTGCTGGCAGCGCCGAGATTAACTATCATGTTCAAACGATTGACAAATCCTACGATGCCGGCATTACCAGCCGCATATCGCAAAAAAAGTTCCAAAAAATAAATTCATATTGATGGACTGCCAACAATTTGCCGAACCGGCAGGCTTGCTGTATGCGGCGAAGGTTTGACATGTTGACACAATCACAAGTTTGTGATATGTGCTTGCCCAACTGTACATTTTAGGCCATCAATACATATTACTCACTGAACCGGTAATCTTTTCTCTACCAAGGAGGTCACCATAAAGGTATTGCGTATCTCGTGCAGTATTCTGTACTTGAAGTCATCGCCATAAAGAAACATTACTCCTTGAGTATAATATAGATCAATGCTGTAATACAAGAGGTTTTGTGATAAAGAATAGCAGTGTAGACGTGCAACCGCGCATTTTGATCTATTTTCCATTTTTTCGCTCTCCAAACCTTATCACATCTCAACACATGTTGCGTCTGACCCGTACGCTATACGTCTCGCCTCGTTTATTGACGTCGTGAGATATAACAGCTTGTAGTCTTACCCACCCGTAATAATAAAGCTCGTAGACTACCATATCAAGTCTACGTACTACAAATGTACACACGGCATAAAGAATAACCATCTTGCCGTTCAATGGGGACGACATCATTGTGCGCTACGACATATGATCTGCGTCGACCACAAACGGTTTAAAAACAAGTAAGTGCATCCTGAATTTGACATAAGCATACTCACTGCAATAAGATTCCTATTTTGAACACTTAAGCTTTTTTCGCCGCTTTTAGCTGAGGAAAACCAAAAGCGAGGAGCGTACATGTTCATATATCAATGGCCCAATCGGTCGACGATAGCGCATCGCAAGGCAAACGCTGAAGCTTTATGGATGACATGAATTGGCAGATTTGAAGTAGTATAATCCAGAAATTTGACACTTTTACAGTGATGGTATCTGCCTTTTCTGCCAATCTCCAAATCCTTTTTTGTATTCATATAAATTATTAGACAGACCAAGGCTTTATAATCTATGGGCACTGGCCAATCTTCAATTACCATTGTTCATTACCTTATTATATGCAAACACGTATTACTACATGTCATTAGGTTCTCGGATACAGGACGACGGTGTTTAGTGGTGATATATACTCTCTCTCACCATACCCGCTTCATGCTTTGTACAGTAGAAAATTACACCGCTCCCTTGACTGTTGTCGCTGACGCAATTTTAGCTGCCGTAATACTGCCCTTTGGTTAGGGTCCCACACGCAAATTATGTTTTGAGAACCAGGTCAATCCATTGCGCAATTCGTCATGCAGAGTAACATGCGTGGTGCTAGGTCGTGAAAGGATTGAAAATATTTGCGAAATAGCTATGTCACTCCTTGGACCCAGTGCTCGGCGATTGTCTTTAACCACTACTTCTAAGATTGATAATGAGCTTTGCCCCGACTCCAGTATCAGTCATACCATTTCACTAACTTCACTGTCTATGATTTCTTGTACATATCATCTGGTCTGGCTCTAAAAGCGCTTCTGCAGGAGTTGGTGAGAGGAGATTTATAACCTCTGGGACTACCGCAGTCACTCCGTTCGCCACTGATTTATCTTTCTCGCCACTTTACCGTGGACCTTCGCTGCTCTGTATGGTGAACCTGTCACACGGTAGTGCTGACTCAAAAGTACCG